CCCCCCCCCCCCCCCCCCCCCCCTCCCCCCCCCCCCCCCCTCCCCCCCCTCCCCCCCTCTGTCTTTCGCTGCCATTTGCAGGAACTGGAAAACGGGAAAATATTTCTCAACTCACGATCTTTGCTATTATTTAACATGCTTTGTGTAGAAACCTGAAGCCTCACAACAGGAGGCGTGGAGGGATTGGACAAATGTCTAATGGCTCCTAATAAAGCTCTGGGTTATCAGGCCATTTCTATTTTCCTCTCCTCTCACCCCCCACTCCCCAATATTTGTAGTTGTTGATTTTTCTGGTGTTATCAGAAGTGAATTTAAACCCAGTAGACTCAACTAGTAAGTCTTGAGAAATGTTTCGAAGGCAAACATTTGGCTTTAGTATGTATCTCCATAACTTTGTAAGCAGTATCAGTTAGTATTCTCACATTGCAGATTGCTAGAAATTGAGTAAAAAGGGTATACAGTACTTCAGATCACAGTGTTCTGAAATTCATGGAAGAAATTCTGAAATTCATGGCAGAAAACAGATTTTATTAGAGGACATTCTAGTTTAGAGCTTAATGTTGCTTTTCATAGTTTTGTGTCCATTTGGTCAGAAGTAAATCATAGAAAATCAGTGGAGACTGCATCATCTCTTTGCACCCATGAACTGTTTTGGCCATTAGGGAAAAGACAAATAAAGGGGAAGGGTTTTCACCCTGTCCTGTGTTTGACTGTCATGTGGCTTATTGTTAGTAAAATAAATCCCTGTGTTTTTCTCTCTCTTGTCTCTTTTAAGATGTACTGTACTGTGGTTTAGATAGCAATAAGGCTTTCCTATCTCATATATTTCTTAATAAGTCTACCTTTTACTTGAAATGTAGTGAATATCTGTTAGCATGTATTCATAGTTGGGCCCATACTCTCCATACAAGACAGCTGTGTTATGAGCTTTTTATTCTTTTAAATGGGATGTTCTGCTGCTTTATTCCTCAGTATTCTTTCAGTATTCCTATGTTCAAGAGCACATCCTCTAAGAACAGCTCCTGTTGAATGAACTCAAATCCCCATTTCAGCCATCATTTTGTTGTGGTAATGTAGGGGGGAAAAAAGCTTTCTGGGCACTTTTGGGGTTCATTTTCTTTATTATCATTGATGGCATACTGAGCTAAAATTCTAACAGTCATGAGATTATGTAACCCTTTTCTTCATGCCTTCTTCCTAATTTTATATTGTCCACTGCAAAATTGTCCTGATGAGATTTGGAGCTCTCCATTATGCAAAGTAGATCTAATTTATGTTTGTTCAATATTATAGCAGAAAGCAATTATTATACTTTTAAGATAGGTCTATCTATCTAGGATACTTGGTCCAGTTCTGGTTGCTTTATTCAAAAAATATTGTAGAACTGGAAAAGATGAAGGAAATAATAAGAGTTCTAACGTAACTTCTCTGCAGGGGAAGTTTACTATTAGAAATCACATTATTCAGAAAGGGAGCATGATAGACTAAAATTTTATATATGCGTACAATATAGAAAGTGATAGTGGGTAGCAAGTTTTTCTCATAATTCCAGACACCAGAGTTAACTAATGAAGAATGAGAGAGTCAAGATGGACAAGAAGTACAGTATTTCTTCACACACATGGTTAATTATGCAAAATCTTCCCAAAAAAAATTATGGTCAACAATTTGGATGGTTTTAAGAAGGGATTACACAAATTAATGGTGAATAAGGTATTGCTGGAGAACATAAGTGGAGCAATTTATCACATCCATATTCGGTTTGGAGACTTCCCACAGGTATCTGCTTGGCAACTGTAGGAAACAGAATGTTAGATGTAGTTGCACCACAGCTCTTTCTATGCTCTTACATTGATATATGCACTATGTCCTTTCCAGGAAAATGACTTCCAACAAGCAAGCAGAAGTAAGCAGGGTCTATGAGGCTGTATTCAAATACATAATCTAACAGTGCTAAAAGTCCCATCTGCTTGAATTCCTGTCTTATAGAGATTACACTTCTATAACTAAGGAGGATTTAAGACTGCAAACTTTTGAAGAAGACTCACCTAGAACTGAATTTTTTTCACAATTTTTGATGGTAAAATTTGTACCTCGGTACTTTAAAAACAGCTCAAATCAAAACGACAACCTTATAAGGGATTAATCTAAAGCTGTTAAAACTGGACTATGACTGCTATTCCTTAGTGAAGAGATTTACAGATGTGGATTTTCAGCTGAAAGGCAGTCAGTGCCCCATTTTAAGATGCCCTATAGACTACAGTGTAAAAGGTTGAAATCTCCTCTAAAAGTAACATCTTTAAATCAGACCTGACTCTGGTGGCATCAGAGATACATCCATGTGGTTTTCATAGCAACACTATTCAAGTGGCTTGCCACTGGCTTCTGGGATGGCTTTGTCTTCTCAGTCTAGTCTATAATCTTAACCAGGTTCAACTCTGCTTAGTTTTTCAAAGTCAGTCAAGGTTGATAGATGTTATCACCTAACTGGGCAAAAGTCTTATTAGATACTAGCAAATTCTTATTAGGGGCCATGACAGTAAAATACTGGATGGCATTCTTAATGCTGAGCATTTAGTTATGGAAGGGGTAGTATATAGCTCTTTCTCTGAAATATGGGTGTTATACCCCTTTTGGAAACGCTCTAATTGTGTCACTAGTGTTGGGATACTTGGTACAGACCTGTTTTCCACAGATCAGATGGCCTGAAATTCAGTTCCTAATATCTTTACAAAATAGAGGTGCTGTGTTACTGCTTGGTATAACAGAGGTGGGATAGGGTAGGAAAAGAATAGAAAGAAGGAACTGGGGTGGAACTGGCGAGAAAGGAAGAGTTCCACCAGAGAGGAACTAGGGATGGGGAGAGAAGCTGGAGCACACAGTGCCTAAGGAGGGCATCTAATTTAACATCCCCTCATCCTTAGCAGCACTGCTTCTCTCTGGTATAGAAAAGGCACAGTGCTAGAAAATCCAGCCATTATCTCCCAGAAAAAAAAAAAGTTTATGAGGGAAGAATGTGAAAAAGAAGATGCAATATTTGGACCACATAGAAGGCAGATTATTCTGGAAGAAATAACTTGCAATAACTTTGCAGAGTGCCTTCTCCCTCCACTACGCCTGTATACTTGGCTAACTAATCTGTGCATTCCACTAGAAACTATAGTTGAATATTGAATCAATAGAAGAGAATATATGTAACTCAGGGTTGAACTGTGGAGTCCTTGGGGTTCTCTTAGTTTGGTTGTTTTCTTGCAAATGTTTTGTTACCCTTTTTATTGGGTACATTTTGTTTCCTTTTTATTGCCGCTTTTGAATAGTATGTAGATATTGTTTATCACTATGTGCCTGTTGATGGCTGCCTTATCTGAATACCAAGCTTCCAGGAATTCCCTCGCATTTTTGGTTTTAACTGGTCTAAGATGCTGACAGTTTCCCAGTTGAAACTATGGTTAAGTCTACCCATGTGTTGTGAGATTAA